AATCCACCACATACAGTCTTTCCCAGACTTTCCCTATATATGGTAGGTTCTTGCTGAGACTACTGCTATGTGCTGTATATGGGGCTATCCTTGAAAATGACTCAGAAGCAGCATCTAATGCAAAAAGCTGGACCAGTGATTCCCAAACTTTGGTCCTCCAGATGTTCTGGACTTCAGCCTCCAGTATTCCTGACAGTTGGCCAAGGTGGCTGGGGTTTCCAGGAGTTGAGAACCAAAGTTTGGGAACTACAGAGCTAGACTGTTGACCCAGAACATCATTCAGAAATTATATAACCAGACTTACAAAGGAGATGGACTGTTTGCCGATGCCCTTTCAGTCTGATTCAAGGAGCTAGTAACGATAGTCAAATTACAAGGGAGGGTGAATCACGTAAACATTGGGAAGACCTTCATGGTGTTGGATGGCCATCTCTCACGAATGCTTTAGTTCTGTATTCCTGCAAGGAAGGGGGTTGGACTAGTTGGCTCTTCTAGCTGTATGAGTCTATGGTTTTATGATAGGCAAAGCTCTAAATGAATGTATGGAGGAGCATCTGTCCCTATATATACCCGCACATTCTGTGTCCCGTGAAGCCCTTTCCCTGCAAACAAAGCTTGCAGATGTAATTGACTGGTTTGTAGTATCTTCAAATCTATTTTGCATCCAAGGTTAGATCCCTGAATAGCACAAACCTGAAAAGGAACATCATGGTGAAAGAATATTTATGATCCTTGCACTCCCAGGCCCTGGAAGTATTTGATGAGCTGAGGATATTAATCATTTCTAGAAACAATATGAAAGATGCATTAAGCAATGGTCTGATTCAGTAGTTGGTATTTCGAATCAATATCAAGCTGGTTATTGAGCAACCACTAGGTCAGTTTTCCCCACCTTGGTGCCTTCCAAGTGTGTCAGATTATTGCCCTAAAATCCCCAGACAGAATTATGGCTGAGATGATGGGTTGTGTAGTCTGGCATATCTGGAGTGAGTCAGGTTGGGGAATGTAGTATTTGGAAGAATGTTACTTTTGGGAGCTTGGAAATGTTACTTTCCCCCTTTTTTCACATAAGAAACCACAGAAGCTAGGTTTTGTATGTCTGAACAAGTAATTTTTCCAAGCCATGAGAACTAGATAGAGGCAAAAAATTCTGTTAGATTTCAAAAAGTTCAAACATACACACACATATATATACACACACAGACACACACTTTAGCAATTAACTATTGTCTTTATTGAACATGCAGCCCTGAGTCTAACAAAATTCATTGGGTAATACTCATGCCTATTTTGCTTGTCCAAGAAATGCCCATTTCTCAAAGCTTCTGTTTGCACCCACTGAAATACTTCAAAACACTAGATGGAAAAAAAAAAAAAGATTTTTCACATATGTGCAATTTTATACAATTTAGAATTGGATTCATAGAAACATTGAATCACAAACAAATTTTAAGGATGTGGCATTGCGGCTTTTATTCATTCACATCTGCGAGCATTTTCAAGTCTCACATTTCTGAAGCAAGAGAGAGGGAAGAATAGAAAAAGAGAAAAGAACTGTGTAATTCTCTGCCTTTAGATCTTGCAATGCTGTATTCTATTTTATTTTTTTTGTACTATCCCTAAAATGAAAAGCAAGGAAAAAGATGACATAATAATGACAGTCAAGGATAATAAAAAAAAAATTTAAAGTTCAGTGAAATGACAATCATTTCAGTGCATGATATGGGATAAGGGAGAAAGCTGTTTTTCTGACCATATAACAGGATTTATTTTTTCTTCACTTAATATTCCCACATGAGAAGCTGCCTCAAATGTGTAAAAAAAAAAAAAACCTTGTAAAAATTACTGAAGCATGCTGGATGATCTATATACAACATTACTGTATTTTAAAGTACCTTAACTAGATGTCCTACAGACAAATTCAGACATATTTCAGTATTATATGGTGTTCTCGTGTGCCTTCAAGTCATTTCCGATTTATGGAGAATCTAAGGTGACCCTATCATGGGGGTTTTCTTGGCATTTTTTGTTCAGAGGAGGATTGCCTTTTCCTTCATTTGAGATTGAAAGAGTGTGAGTTGTCTAAGATCACCCACTGGGTTGCCATGGCTGGGCAAGGATTCAAACCCTGGTCTCCACAGTCATAGTCCAATGCTCAAACAAGTCCATCCTGCCGGTTCTCAGAGGGAGGGTTATACAAAACAATTTTTTTCTGAGTAGATAGGTTTCTTGTGCAAAAAAAAAAAAAAGTAGTTTTCTATGCAAAAAAAACACATGCCTTTTGCATAAAAGAAAGTACATATATTTCTTTGAAGAATAATTCATCTGCAGCACTTTGGGACATCTGAATATGAGTGGGGTGGGATACTACAGAGAAATATTCATTTTCTTCTGCAGTGGGAGAAAACTACAGTAATTGTCATCACATGAGAGGATGAACTAATTGGGGATTTATATTCCTATATCAAATCCACTGCAATGACTCATGTCCATATTGGTTTCTTGGTCTGTTGTTCAGCACAGGCATCTGTGAACATTATCATGCACATTTCCCCTCTCAAAATGCTCACATTTACCTTGCACGCTTTTTCAAATGCCTAGCATTTTGTGCACAGGTTTTTTTTTCCCATCCATGTGCCTCTTTTCATGCACATCTTTCAAATGTACACATTGGGTTTTGAACTAATTTTAGTTTAGTTTTGTTCTTCCACAAATTATATTGCAAGCTCAGACACCTACAGACGTAAGTATACAAATGGATGTTTCATAGCTGTTACAGAGGCTTCTGAACCAAAAGTCTCTGGCTCACAGGTTGCTTTCTGAACTAGAGTGGGAGGAAACACAGTTTTTCAAAGTGAATTCTTTATTTCTGCTGGCATGGCTTCTTAGGTGGTAAAATGCTGACCAAGGGCAGTAGCCAACCCAATGCTCAGCAAAAGCAAGCATGGAGTCAAAAATAACCCAGAAGAACTAAGGTATATTCATTTTCACCCAAACTGCAGAGTCAAACAGTTTCTTTCCTCCTCCCCAATGCCACTCGCTTCGCTCTCAGGTCCTCAATGAAAAAGGTTCAAATCTCAACCATTTGCAGCATAGCCCTTTCTAGTTTCAAGCCTTTAAATATAATTCTCAATTGAAATAAGGTTCAAATATCAACCATTTGCAGCATAGCCCTTTCTAGCTTCAAGCCTTTAAATATAATTCTCAATTGAAATACTCTAGTCTTTGGGATGAAAGGAAAATGGAACCCAATCCCAGGAATGTAGATAATGCTTCTGAGTGCCTATGAATGTAGTTATTCTACATTTTTTGGAAAAGATGGGGGAAAAACACTTATAATTTATTCTGGAGGAAAGGAAGGGAGCAACCACATTTACTAACTTGATCACAAAATTAAGAGTACAACACAAACATTGGTCTAAGTCCTATTGTTACCCCTGACTAGTAGACCCACGGAATGAATATTTGCTTTTATGTTGACCCACCCATTCAACAGTTGAATCAATTGTACTACTCTAGTAGGGATTAACCATTCATAAATACAGACACAGTACTATTAGCTATACAGGAAGGAATTTCCTAAGATTGTCCTTACAATTCTATGTACACTTGTCCCTCCCCATTCACGGACCTGGAGTCTGTGATCTCAGTCCTTCGTGGACTGGCAAGTGTGGAGGGATAAAATGGTGCAAGCACCCATGGCACCCACGCAAGGCTACGCACTCCCATTGAAAACAATTGGCCCCCAATATTTGTGATTTTTCTGATTCATGGGAGGAGGGGTCCAGAACGGATCTCCCAAAAATCGGAAGGGATGACTGTATTTGATAATAAGGGTGGACTTCCTAAGGATGCTTCCCAATAGATGCATGCGGCCCTCAAGGCTGTTTTTCTGTACTTTCACCCTGATTTCTTTGGACTGCTCTTTTTCATGCAAAAGAATATGAGTAAATGGTTGATCTTGGGATCGACCTTTTAATTACGTCACTAGGTCCTCCTGTAGTGCTCAATATAAAGATGATTGTTCTTCAAAACCAGAAGTGGACTTCCATCCTCTTCTGGTGTTGCTTTTCCCCATTTGGGGGACTTTGAATACTCTGTGGAGGTTTTCATAAGAAAATTAATTCCCATGTCTGATTTATAATAAGCAGGTTGTAATCCTACTGTATATTTACCTAGAACTATGACCTACCAAAATAAATGGAGCTAACTTATGAACAGACATGCACTAGAGCAGGATTGCATTAAAAAGTCCACCTTGCAATGGACTTCCATTTACACCCTTGTGTGGTCAAGGAGAAATGAGAGAAGATGGCGACTATCTCCTTTGGGCTATGGGGGTGGTTTTGGCTGATGGCATAGCCAATGTGCTTGCTAGGAACCACACGCTCCAACCAATCAGCCTCACTCACTGGGGACCTGAACAGAGTTCCCTTTCTGGCCCACCTGTCTATAGATGGCTTGTTTCCAGCCATTGCCCCCAGTGACCAATGATTGCTGGTGGTTCCCATGTCAGTGAAGTATGAGGTCTGCTCTGGAGATCAGTCCAAACTTGAAATGAGCTGTCCAAGGTGCTAGTCCTATTTTAAGGAAAGGTTTCCGCACTTTGGACAGCTTCTTTGAAGCTCTGGCCAGATTCCAATGTGAATTCACCACCCCAGTGGCACAAGAGACATCAGTTGCCACTGGCCATAGTAGACTTTTAGTTGGTACCTACTTGTGGAATTAACTCAGTTATTTGTTAACAAGGCTGTAGAAGAATCTCCCATGTGTGAATGACTCTGTCAACAGAGCGTCCACCTCCCTCATAGCAATTTGCACAATTTTATATTTTGTGTTGCTATCGTCGTGTGCCTTCAAGTCATTTCCAACTTATGACCAACCTAAAACAAACCTATTGCAGGGTTTTCTAGTGACAATTTGTTCAGAAGGGGTTTGCCTTTGTCTTCCTCTGAGGCTAAGAGAATGTGACTTGCCTAAGTTCATCCAGTGGGTTTCCATGACTGAGCAGGGATTCAAACCCTGGTCTCCAGAGTTATAGTCCAGTGCTCAAACCATTACACCACACTGGCTCTTGTTTTATATCATCACAGGTCAGCAAAGACCTGGATCATGTAGGGATGCAGGTGCTTGCTTGATCCTCACATACTAAACAAAAA